GAAGGAAGGAAGGAAGGAAGGAAGACAGGTAAGCATACTGCAGCTTCACCCCAGACACATTGAAACTGAGACTCTGAGGCTTGGTGCAGCATTGTTATTTAGCAAACGATCCCAGAGCTTCTGACACACAGCAGAATTTTAAATACATGGCACTAAAATTTGTCTTTTCAGAACTACATCCCTCTGCAGATGCATGTTAGCATATCTCCCCCAGAATTGTTGCAAGGTGCCATCTTGAGGGAATGCGCTCAGGGCAGCTTCATGCTCACGCCCTGGTGATGTGTCTGGCAAGAAGAACTCAGCAGATTCTCGCAGCATCACAGTAGCTGGCAACTGTCCCTGTAGCCCTTCCTGATAAGGTTCTACCATATATGGATTGAGGATTCTGCTTCTCAGAGAACATCCCAGCCTTTCTTAAATCCCACCCCACCCTGGTCCTCGCCCAGGTGCCTCTTCGCCTGAGGTGACTGTGTCCATATTCATAACCAAGGAGGAGCCAGACCTCACAAGCTAAAGCCTGAGCTCTGCATAGCAGAAAGCTCAGTACGTGTGTGTGTGTGGGGGGGGGGGAGACAAAAGGCTCCTCCAGAAGGGGAGAGGAAAATAAGAATTCTCTTTGTGTTTCATCGGAAAGTTCTCCAGCTCCACAATATGATCTCTGGAACCGGGTTGGCCATCCAGAGCTGGCCCACAGTGTGGCAAAGGAGCCACTTCTGCAAAAGTGTTTTTGCCCTGGGGATGTCATCTTGGGCAAAGTGCCTCTCTTTGGTAGCAGGGCAATGGCCAGAGAAGGGGCAGGCTCAGCTTCTGCTGCACATATACCCAGTGCCGAAGGCAGTGAGCTCAGTCTTGAACGGCAGATCTTGCACCCATGACCAGCTGTCAAGGGTGGTTTGCAGAGGACAACGGCTACAGATGAACGGTTTCTGAGGTGGGTTCCTCTGCTGAGAATGAAGAGGGTTAGTCCTGACTCTGTGTTGTTAATTACCCCTTTGGGCTCAAGCCAACCACACTGGATGCTTTTAAATCTAATGAGGGCTCTGGCTGTCTTTTCCTGATCCTCCTTGGATATTATGTATGTTCCATTAAGGAGGAGGCACCAGGCTGGCGCTCTGTTCTTAATCTTTGCAGCTTACCCGAGCTCCACAGATGCTAAAGCTGACATCTGTTCTCTATAATCTGGGGGGTTTCTTGTCCCTGCCTCCTGTAAGGCTGACCTAGTAGTTACCCAGGTCCACCTGAAATGCAGGTAGAAACATAGTCAAGATCGTATTGGTCTGTGACGGTTCATCTCGACTGTCAAGTGGGTGGGATTTAGAATCACCATGGAAACAAGCCTCTGCTGTGCTTATCTATAGGGATTCTCCATATTAGGTCAATGAAGGTGGGAAGACCACCCTGAATATGGGCAGCACGGGGTCCGAGGCTGAATAAGAAGGAGAAAGTGAACTGTGCACCAGCATTCATCACTCCCCGCTTCCTCCCTATGGACAGGCACGATGTGGCCAGCTGCCTCTCAGGCCTGCATGCACACCTCCCTGGACACGGTGGGCTGCACTGGGGAGGTGTGAGCCAAAAGAAACCCTCCTCAGATGCTTTCATCAGTATTTTGTCACAGCAATAAGACAAGTAACACACACGGGCACACACACACACTCACATATACTCTCACACACATGTATACACACAGAGACTCAAATCTGTGTACACACAGGCACACACAAACAGACATGCATGCACACACATCCACACACACACGTACACATGCATATAAAGCGAGCGTCTCCTGACTGCCTTGTGTAAGGCTGAGCAGCTTCCTGCTTGGAGTAGAATCGTGTTATTTTGGTTTTCAATCTCTGTGAGATTTTGCTTTAAAAAAATACTTATGAGGAGAAAAGATGTATTCCACTCACAATGTCAGAGGTTTCAGTCAATCATGACCACCAAGGCGCTGAAGAGCATCTCACTTCCTGTTAGACAGGAAGCAGCAGAAGGGATGCCTGCATTTTCAGGGCTTGCTTCTTTCCCCTGTTTTATTTCTTCTTTAATGGTTCTACCCACATTTTGGGGTGGGGGACGTTCCCCATGGAGCCACATCACAAACAGCAAGGTGTCTAACAATCCGGCGAGACCTGAGTCCCTGATTCAAGGACTCATAGACACACCCAGAGTGACTAGCCTCCTAGGTGCTTCTCAGTCCATTCAAGCTGACGGTCAAGGTTGCCCATCATCACACCCAGAAGAGATAGTGAAGTGGTGACTCACATGGGCTTTCTCTGGACATGGCATTGTGGATTCAGTTGGGAGAGGTCACACAGACATTGCGAGAGTGTTGCTTCCGGACACCTGCCCTTAACTCACAAAGAGAAAGTGGTGCCACAGATGCGATTTCCACACACAAACTCAAATACCAGCAAGTATGACCCCTTCTTCCAGAGGGAACTCCAAAACCCAGGCAAAAACCTGGAAGAGCTGTGATGAGAACAATGGCAATGGAGTGGGAGCCGCAGTGTGCAGGAACCATGGTTACAGGAAGACACGCACATATTACAGAATGGCTCAGACTATATTAGGCATGATGATTAAACTGCAGGCCAGCTCTGGAGGGAAAAATGGCAGAATTCTCAGGCTCTTTCCTCATCTCAGTCATTAGGAATCCTTGATAGACATCCTGACTGACAACTCGAGAAACCGAGGAGGCTGGAGAGGTGGCTCCACATGGACCAGCACGCGTTGTTCTTGCAGACGATCAGACAACTCCCAGCTACTTCCAGCTCCGAGGTATCTGAGGCCCTCTTCTGGTCTCTGCAAGCAGTGCACCCATGTGCTCACACTGCCCCCTACCCCCACACGGACACACATTAATTTTTAAGAAATTAATTTTTAAAAGACAGAAATTAAGGCTTGAGTCGTTTTTCTAAAGGCACTCAAGTAGCCAAAGGAAAGATTCAAATCTTTCAAAACGAAATCAGACACAAACAAGCAGCCAAAAGTACACAGTGTACACAGACCAAAGGGTGTCCAAACAAGCTTACAAACAAAATCCGAACTGGTGGGATTACAATATCCTTTTGACATCAATAAGTAGAAATAGTGTTAATGAAACAGGAAGGTAAGTAACTCTTTCCCTTTGGAACATTTTTTTGAATCAGCCATGTTGCTGAGTGAAGGCTGGGGTAAAGGATACTGAGGAGAGGTGAGGAAGCCTAGTGCATACCCAGGCAGCAGAGAACAGATGCACCACATGAAGCAGAGCAAGGCGGTGATCCAAGGTGAGCTTGGAATCAGGCAGAGAGGAGGAGGCATCTGTCAGGGTACCCACCTTGTGGGACAGAGATTCCAGCCTCCAGTCTGGGACTCACTTGTGGGTGAGCTCAGGGAGCCTGGCAGAAAAGAGGAAACCCAGAAGGTAGGCTCAAAGGAACTCTGGAGTGTGCTGAGGCATCAGAGCAATGGTTCTTTCTCTTTGCCAGGACTCACATCTCCCTGAAGAGCCTCCTGCCCACAGTTCTGTCTTAGACTTCTCCTGGCAGGCTCCACAGTTATCTGTCAGTCAGAAAGGTATTCGGGGAAAAAACACTGATTCCACACCTCTGAGTCTGCCCCAGCCTGGGCATGCAGAGACCCACTGCACCCCAGTGCTCCAGGTTCACTCCCTAAACAGCATCAGAGGCATGGAGGCTGTCCACATAAGCCAAGCCACCAGGCCAGCTTTGGCCATTTGAAGAGCTGATGGCTTGTACAGCTTTGTATGAGAATTAACTGCAAGATATCTCAAGGCCGAAGAAAGAAGCAGGTCCCTTGTGGTGGTATACGATGGTAGGTGAAGGCTGAGGGAGAGGAGGCAGGAGGATAATGGATTTACAGCTGCCAGCAGCTACAGCTTTACCAGGGTGTGGTGGTGCACGCTTGAAATCCCAGCAGTCAGGAGGTGGAGGCAGGAGGATCAGGAGTTCAAGGGCATCCTTGACGGTCTAGTGCATTCAGGCCAGCCTGGTTGTATTAAACCCTGGCTCCAACAAACAAACAAAAACAGAGCCAAGAAAATCTTTTGAGGACTTCCAAGATGAGCTGTGGTCCTGAGTGACAGGAAGACCCGGGAGGAGGACAGGGCAGCGAGTCTCCATGCTATCCAGACCACCCTGCACGCCAGCTTCTAACAGTCCCTGCAGTAACAGTTCACTAAGGCAGCACTCAGCAGAAAGGCTGATGCCCAGAAATACCTGTGGCTTTTCCAACGGAGCAGAACCTGGACACAGAGGAGGCCTGAAAGACAGCTACCTCTCCGTCATCCACACTGGCCTCGGGCACCCTCAGCTCAGTGGTGAGACCTTGGTTATGAGATAATATACTGAACATTCTGTGTGGGGTGGATGTTTGGCAAAAACTAGGTATGATCAGTCCTTTAGGACAGCAGGCTAGTCACAATCTATAACCCACCTGCATTAGGCAGGACCCCACACTGGACAATATTCGGGGCTCTGAGAACCAAGTAATCCAGCTCATCCCTGCTTACTGAAGACCACAGAAGAGAAACTTTTTTCCCAAGGCTACTGACTCACCGCAGGAGAGGCAGGTGTGCAAGGACCTAGTGGCAGAAACTATGTGTATAGAAACACAATTACGGGAGAACATATATGCATACAACATACACATATGCACATCTGTCCATATCGAGAGACACAAATGCACATACATATGCAGGCACACACATGCACACATACAGGCACATACACATCTTCATAGACACACATATAGACACACATACACAGATGCACATACACAGAAACATATATACATACACATACACACCCAGACACAAATATACACAGGTACAGACACACACACACACATACAGGTATATACACATAACACACACACACATATATATATATATATATATATATATATATATATATATATATACACACACACACACACATGCACACACAAACACCTATACATATACATGTACATATACACAGACACAGACACATACATACACACTCATATATGCATATATCCAAACATATACATGCACATACAAACACCTACATGTACACATGTCCATACACACAGAGACACATGCATACACATCCATACATTACACACACATGCACAAAAACATACACACTCAAGGCTGCAAGGCCATAGAATTGCAGCTGTGCCATAGCCACACTGGATTGCTTCTGTCTTGTGCATTATTATTGGCCCATGAAACACCACTTCCTTCATGATCTCTGGACAGGAAATGCACCCAGCAATCTCTAGGATCCAGCAATGCTGCTGTGGCTCTCCCCACAGAAGAGCTCAGACAAATGCAAGTAACAACTCCTGAGTCTTCGCAAAGGCATCTGGGTGGGAGGCAGCCGTGATAGCAACCCATGTCACTGCTCTAAGATCAGATCTGAGCCAGGGAATGCCAGCTGCTGGGTGGGGAGCCTAGCACACTGCACTGGCCATGGGCTGTGGTGGCACCAACATCTCAGGTGCCAGCGGCTGGCTCCCTTCGGCTAGCTTGCGCTGCCCCTAGCCACAGTGTGCCCGGCGTGTCCCCTTCCAGCCACTCACTCGTCCTCTGATTTCCTTTTCCAGTCCTGACAGTGGCTTTGTGCACGGTGTGCTCCTTCACCAACTTGGTAAGATCCCACATTGAATCTTTTTTTTAACTCTGCTTTGAGTAACAGGGGGAACATTAAAAGCTGATTAGCATTCAAAATCTGCATTAGTGGAAATAACTAGACTCACAGAACGAGACAGCCATCTGCATGGCTTCAGTGACAGAGGCCTACAGCTGAGCTGACTGGGTGTTTCAGTGACTGCAGAAGCTGAGGAGCTGGCCTGGGCTGCATTTCTTCCCTATTTGTGTTTTTTCCCAGTGCATTTACAGTCAGGAATGAGTGATGGCTATTTCCTTGCGGTTGATTTTACATGTTGAAGCTTGTTCTATGCAAGGGCATCTCTGTTTGGTAGGAGGCTTTGGGTGGCTTAGCCAGCCTAAGCTGTGTGCAAAAAGTCTATCTTGTAATGATACCTCTGGCCGGAATTCAGATAAGAGAGGCAGGGGAGTCTGGCCTCCTCCCAGGCACCCTGATGACATAGGGGTGCCTGGAATCTGCCTCCTCCCAGGCACCCCGATGGCATAGGGGTGCCTGGAATCTGCCATCTCCTTCCCCAGCACACAGCTGGCACAGGGGTGCCTGGAATCTGCCATCTCCTTCCCCAGCACACTGCTGGCACAGGGGTGCCTGGAATCTTCCATTTCCTTCCCAGCACCCTGCTGGTACAGGGGTGCCTGGAATCTGCCTCCTCCCAGGCACCCTGATGGCATAGGGGTGCCTGGAATCTGCCATCTCCTTCCCCAGCACACTTCTGGTACAGGGGTGCCTGGAATCTGCCATCTCCTTCCCCAGCACACTGCTGGCACAGGGGTGCCTGGAATCTTCCATTTCCTTCCCAGCACCCTGCTGGTACAGGGGTGCCTGGAATCTGCCATCTCCTTCCCAAGCACACTGCTGGCACAGGGGTGCTTGCCTCTTACTTCCTATACTAGTTTGGAGCATCCATACAGCTAATGAGAACCTCATGGAGAGAGTGCCTGGTAATTGCGGCTGCTTCAGACAGCCTTTCTTGGCAGTAACAGAGAGGAATGAAGAGGAATGCTGAGACTTGTTTGGTCTACTTTGTTTGGTCATTGTTCTGGCGTGTTTAGTATCTTGGAGGAATTTCATGACACCTCTGCATGGAAGAGGCTACTAATGGTGTCTCCTTTTACTAATTTGAGCACCAGGAACAGAAAGGTGAAGCAACTCACCCCAAAACCATGCAGCTTGTAAATGTAGAGCTTAACCACTGCATGAAAACAGCCTTCAGGGTGCATTTGATCTTACTTGGCACAATTGGCATTCAAAAGCGATTTCCCTAGTCTCCTTTGCCACACTTGAGGATGTTTGTAGCTGCAAGAGTTAGAGGCAGAGTTGTGGACATTATAGGAGTTTCATGAGATTGGCAGTAAGCTCTAGAAGTATCTTGAAGAGTCTAGAGAAATGTTGAGCCGACCTCTCCCCAAAGTGTGGGCTTTAAAAGATGCCAGAAAGGATACAGAGCATTTGCCTGAGTGAAGCCACACCTATTTCTGTCTATTTATTGATCCCATTCTTCACTGTTTAAAATGACACATCTTCTAGACCAATCACAAACTAGATTACCATGCTGTCCACGCTGAAAATGCTTGGCCACAGCTTCCTGTCTCTGCAGCCTGAACTGCACAGTAAACTGAGCAGTGAGGAAATAGAAATATTCTCGCTTCAGAAAATGGACGTGTCACTGGGTGTGAAAAGGCCCATGATAGCAGATCAAGCGCGGACAGAGATGGAGATAGATGGCAAATCCTCTTCCCCTTCAGCATCAGCACCACTGTGTACCCAGCTGCATGCCAGGACCAGGCAGAAGTTATCACCTAAAGAGGGGTGAAGAACACCGCCCTCCCATGGGCTTCTTGTTCTCACTTTATTTATGGTGACCTGGGGTGAAGCACAGTTGGTAGAATGCTTGCCTGCCACGCTCAGGGCCTGGGTTTGATGCCAACACAACAACAACAGCAAGCGTGGTGGTACATGTTTGCCATCCCAGCACTGAAGAGAGTCAGGAGGATGAGAAATTCAAGGGCATCCTCTGTTACCTGTTGAGTTCAATACCAGCCTAGGAGCTATGAGAACTTGCTGTCATTAGAAAAGAAGGGAGGAAGGAAGGAAGGAAGGAAGGAAAAAAGAAAGAAAGAAAGAGAGGGAGAGGAGGAAGGGAAGAAGGAAGAGAGAGAAGACAAAAGTAGAAAAATGAAAAAAAAGATAGTGTACATGATGAATCTTTTGACTAAGAATTAAAGGATGGGAGTGTCAGGTGTGGAGCCATTGGAATGGTGTATGGTAACGGATGGGTGTATATGGACAGTTTCTGCTCAACTATGTACCACACTATGGTGATATTTTATTTGTACTGAAATGTGATTTTATTTGTTTATTAATAAATAAAGTTGCCTGGGGGTCAGAGCTAATAGCAAGCCATAGCAGAAGCCGGGCGGTGGTGGCACACACTTTAATCCTGATCACATGACAGGGAGATTTCTGTGTGTTCAAGGATATAGCCAGCATGAAGACACACACCTTTAATCTCAATACCAACCATAGAGACCTAGAGGTCTGTATAGACAGGCAGTGATGAGGAGGTCATGTGGTTGGGTTTACAACCAATAAGAAGGCAGAACAGAAAGTCAATAAAAAGACAGACACACAGGAAGTAGGTCTCTCTCTGAGGAGAAGGACAGCAGCGGCAGGAAGAGTAAGAAAGTGGTTTTAAGTCTCAGCTCTCAGCTACTGCTCTGACCTCTTGGGCTTTTAACTCTGCATTTGGCTCTGTGTTTCTTTTTTAACAAGACAGTTACATCTACACCACACTTCAGAGCAGAAAGTATTGGTTTCACTCAGAGTTGAAAACAGGTGAAACTGGCATCTGAAAAACCAGGATTTTCTGTCACAAACCACACCTGCTGTTATTTTGACCAACTTTGAAGCTATTGATACATTTCAGTATTTTCACATTAAAACTGAGCTCTCATAGGCAAATGGAGATGCTAAAAATAAAAGTAAGGAGTCACAGTATGCTACCATTTTCTCATCTTTTTAGAGGAGTAATTGACAAACTAAAATCGTATGTATTTGGAGGTTTACATTGTGATATCTCGGCATATATGTGTTTTAGAGATGATTAACATAATTTTATCATTAATATGTCACTTCACATGTAAATCGTGTGTGTGTGTATGTGTATGTGTGTACTTAATATCCGCAGTCCATCTGTGTACATCATTATTAATTGTCATCATCCTAATGTTCCACAGATTGGAATTGCTCTGGAGTCTGACTGTTACTTGGTTAAAGAAATTTACAAACACATGAATGTTCCATTCTACCAGATCTGTATATATGCACATATATATGGACACACAAATATACACATGCACATACAAATGTGTACACATACATTCACACACATGCACATATACATATGCACGCACATATATGCATACACACATGCACAAATACATACATGCCCCACATGGTCTTTCATTAAAAATAATGATAGAAAAAAACATTTCTCTGTCTCCTTTTGACAGCATTAAGCATTATCACTAGGCAACATGGCCTGTGTAATGTAAGGTGGCTTTCTAAGTAGTAATTTATTTCCTCCAGTTACATAACTACATTGAGACACTGACAATCCATCTCCATGTAACTGTTTTATTAAGTGGACCAACTTCTTTTCTTGGCTACAGTTCACTAAACAAAATTCTGCCCTCTTTTCAGGGACTAGGCAATGGACTTGTAAAGCGTCAGTCATATGGACAGAACAGCATGTTTTGAGAATTGTGGCTCAATGATTGCTCTAGAATAAGTCAGTACAGCCACCCATTTTTTGTGAAGGAAACAAAATTGTCCCATTTATTCAGAATATGTTGTTTCTTAAACTGTTTTTGGTTTATGTTATGTCCATATCTTTCTCTACCCACCCCCACCCCGTGTGTGTGTGTGTGTGTGTGTGTGTGTGTGTGTGTGTGTGTGTGTGTGTGTTCACATGGGCACATGAGCACACATGCATGTACTTGCCATAAGAGGCCAGAAGAGGCATAAGATCTCCTGTAGCTAAGGTTACAGGATGCTACGAGTCACCATGTGGGTGCTAGGAAATGAACTCAGGTCCTCTGGAAGAGCAGCAAATGCTCTTAACTGCTGAGCTGTCTCTCTGACCCCAGAATGTATTCTTGAGTGAGAACTTCAGTGAATAAAGTCGATGTTATAGATTCCCTTAACCCTCCATTTCTCCATAATGTAGCCCGCTCAGGGTGAGCAGAGCAGGAAAGATGGGGAGTTCCTAAAAGCTGACCACAGATACTACTTATATAAAGTGTGTGTTAACTATGTGTGCAAAATATGTGCGTTGCTTGCTTTGTATGTTATATGGTGTGTGGTACATAATATGTGGACATTGAATATATGTGTGGTGATGGTATATAGCTTGTATGTTCTGTGTGAGTAAGGTATGCAGTGGATACAATATGTGGTGTGTTGCATGTGATTTGCATGTGCAGCATGTGTTAGGTATTGTATGGTACAATATGCATCCTGTGTTATGCATATGTATAGTGTGTAGTGGGTAGCTGCCATGTGACTTTTCCTGAGGATCATGAACGAACCTCTATTCTAAGAACCAATGACAGACTCAAAAGTTCATCTTGACAGACCAATGAGTTTATTGCAGTTACTTACAGAGTATGGAGGAGGTTAATTATAGAAACATGGATAATTCAAAAGTAGCTGTACCCTAGCCTGGACAATGACCCACAAAACCTGTACCCTAGAGCTCCTGCATGACATCGAGGGTAAGAGAGTCTTGTCTCTTGGTCTCTTTAGCAGTTATTATTGATTACACAACATTAATGGGCCTTATGAATCTTGTTAGTTTCAGGAATTTCCTGGGATTTGTGAATTGTTTTACTTCCTGAGTCTCATAAGTCTCTTCCCTCCATCCCTCCAGAATGGAAAGTTTCCATATGAAGGACATTGCTACACAACAGTGGTGTATGCAATATTCATCATGTATGTGTGGTGTGTGTGTTTAAGACAGCATGCATAGGGTAGGGGGTGTGAGTGAATGTCCCATATCTCTTCCATTTCTGCCCCTCAGAAAAATACCACTTTGGCCCATTAAATCTGGATATATACATGTACATATCAGATTGAATTTTTAAAGAAGGGCAGACACATGTGGTTCCCAGCCCATCTACAAATCCACTTTGAAGAGCTGAACCCATGAGGGACTCTTGGTAAGTGCTGACATGGACTAAAGCTCATTAGACAAGAAGTGGGTTAGTTGGTCCCTTCTCTTCTGACTCCTTTCCTTGAAGTCTGAAGAGTGCTGTGGAAACTGTCCGCATTTACCAGAAAGCTCCACACTGGCAGGTTTGGAGTATCCTAAAGTACGCTAAACACACACACACACACACACACACACACACACACACACACACATACACACACACACACACACACACACACACACACACACACACACACACACATACACACACAAAACCCTCCTGGGCAGTAATAATTTTCTTCCAAAATATCAAGTGACATCCAATCCTTTTACTGCAGACACTTGGATAGTTGACATTTCACTGTGCTTAATCATTTGAAAATGACTCAACATTTCTTCCCAAAATTAATATGCTGTCTTGACATATTTGGAGATAAGAAATGAAGCTTGAGGCATTTCAAGAAAGAAGATGCAGTGGTTATTGAAAAAGTCACTGCACTGGGGAAGGAGGGCTGGGTAGTTGCTCATTTTCTAGCACAGTGGATTATCTAGAGTGCAGCGTTTCTGCTTAGCAGGCATCAGTCAGGCTTTTCAGCTCAACATGTCAACACCTACCTGTCTGAAGTCATGTGCATGCCCACTGCTCACCATGCTCTTCACGCTCTCTGATGTGGAGGTGCATTGTCAGATAATGGGCCAGATAAGACACTGAGTCTCCTCCAAACGAGAGCTAAGAGACTGATAAGACAAGCCATAAGTTGGGGGAAAATATCTGTGAACCACCTCATTAATAAACAAGTTGCCTACAATGTACAGGCGACCTTCTGCATCCATGCATTCCACAGCACAGACAATGAGGAAGAAATAGCAGGAGAGAATAGTTCCTGTGTAGAACATCCACAGACTTTTCCCTAACCCTTTTTCCCAGAATAACAACTGTTACATAGTGCTTCGATTGCATTTGGTATCACAAGCAATCCAGAAAAGATTTAAACTCTTCCGATGTGAATATTCCATTATTTTGTGTAAGAGGCTTGAACATCCCAGCATGTGAACATTGACAGAGGATCCTGGGGTTAATTATGGATCCTGAGACAACTCTTCATGCCAAACTCTCAAAAGCCAATATTAAGGAATCAGAAACGACAAGGAGAAAAATCTGAACAGACATTTCATCTCAGAAAATGTAAAGATTCTCTCCAGTCATTAGGAAATTCAAAAGGAAAGCCTGTAAGAAACACAGGGCACCCCATTAAAATGGGGAGCTAAAATGTAAACAAATGGCCGACCAAGGGTGAGTAGCGGGGTAGACCACCTGAAGGGCTCCTGCACTGCTCCTGAGGTGTTCTAGTTGCATCTTTGACTAAAAGCAGCTTAGGGGAGAAGAGGTTTACTTCACTTTGCAAGTCAATGTCCATCGCTGAAGGGTCTAGGTAGAAACTCAAGCAGTGACCTGAAGCAGAAACAAGGGAGGAACCTGCTTGCTGGCTCCCTCACAGGCTAGTGTAAGGCCAGTTTTTTATATAGCCCAGGGGATGGTGCCACCCATGGTAGACTGCCCTCCCCCTGCATCAGTTAATAATCAGGACATATCCACAAGACAATCTGATCCAGGCTATCCCGCAATTGAGACTCCCTTCTCAGATGACTCCAGACTATGTCAAGTTGACAGTTCATGCTCACTAGAATAGACAGATTATTAAAATAATTAAGAATAGCAAATATCCAGCTGCTCCACTCCTCTTTATCTGTCCACAAGAAATGAATGTGGAAGCCACCACAAAGGTTGGACGTGAACACGCAAAGGAACTCTGCTTATAACAGTTACAACCTGGGAACAGCCCAAATGTCCACCAACTAAGCGGACAGTTAATTTCTGCTGCAGCTACAGGATGGAGTAGTACAACAAAAAAGAAGTAGACTTTTGCTTCACACTCCAGTGCTGGATGTGCCTAGAAGCAAGTGCCATGAAAGAAACCCTCCAAAAACAGGGCACACTGTGCAGTTACATTTTAATATAATTCTGAATAATGTGAATTATTGTGAGTGGTTGTGGGGAGGGATACGGGAGGAGAAAAGGGAGGGCTTACATGAAGATGGAGCAAGCTCCAGAGAGTGAAGGGTCTGTTCACTGCCTTGACTGTTGTGCTGACCATGTCCCATGAACCTACATACGCCAACGCTTACTAAATTCCGCACTTCAATTATGCCTACCTCAGTGCGTGTTAATTAGGCATTGTTGTGGTGTGGATGGTCAATGTTCACCATAGGCTCATATGTTTGAACACTCAATCTCCAGCTTGTGACGCCATGTTGAAAGGTTGTAAAGCTTTTAGTGGATAAGAAATGCAGCCTCAGTGGAGGACGGGGGTCACTGAGGGCAGCCCCTTGCGCACTCTGCTTCCTGTCTGCTCTCTACTTCCTGACTACAGATGCAGTGTGACCAGCACTCACACTCCTGTGACCATACCTTTTCTGCTGAGGTGGACCAGAGCCTTCATACTGTGAGTCAAAATAAGTCTTTCCCTCTTTAAGTTGCTCCTTGTTGGGTGTTTGGTGACAGCATTGAGAAAAGTGATTAATACACACAACAAAAATACAAAAAATCTTGAAAAATGCAACTGAAATGAAAAAAACTAACCCCCGAGAAGAACTTGCTTTTTCACTGTCTTGGACTCCAGGTCCCCTCTGCAGTGTCAGCAACTGGAGCCAGGCGAGGCGCTGCCACTGCCCTTCCCAGTCTGAGCAGGTTGTCAAAGCTGAGAGATCACCGCAGCTTCTCTCCACTGTGGACGAAGCTGGGTCAGGCTCAGGAAACCCTGCTCGTTAAACCGCAGGAGCCACCTGCTCCTCCCAAAGGCCAGGCTGAGCCAGGGAACCAGGGTTTGGAAGAAAGAGGTGGCTGAGTCCCAGCCACACAAGGTGAGTATTTTCTAGACAGCTTGGTACAGCATTGTGCCTACATGCAATAACGGTGCAGAACTCTCAGACTCCGCAAAGAGGGTGTCTCATGTCAAGTGTTCTTAGGCAAAAAAAAAAAAAAAAGTACTAAAGACTTCTTTCTTTTTTATTATGTATACAGTGTTCTGCCTGCATGTATACCTGCAGGCCAGAAGAGGGCACCAGATCTCATTATGGATGGTTGTGAGCTGAATGTGGGTGCTGGGAATTGAACTCAGGACCTCTGGAAGAGCAACCAGTACTCTTAACCGCTGAGCCATCTCTCCAGCCCTTGAAGACTTTTCTAGACCCTCAAAACTCTCCCCATGCGAGAGATTAGCTGGACCTGGGCCCTTTTCTCCTCAGTCAGCCAGGACTCTCCAGTCAAATGAAAAATGAAAGGCAGGCAGAGAAGAAACACCAGTGAACAGGTCCTATATAAGGGCAGGTTCTCCAGAAACAGCCAACGCAAAGGAGGAGGAAAATGTGAACAGTCTGTGAGGTGGCTACCTTGTGACTGTTTGCCTGTTGGTAAGGTGGGGCCCCCAGATCTGGAGACCCAGGCAGGGGAGGAGACTGGCGGGGAATAACTGGGGAAGGAGAAACCAGTCTCTTCTTCTCTAGAGGAGTGAGGAATAAAACCCTCAACTGGAAGCCGTGAAGCCGCAAACACAGGCACATCCTTCAGTATCCAGTACAGGGTGTCCAGGTCAGCCACTCCACATTATGAAAATGCCATTTTATGAATGGAAGGCTCAGCTGATCAATACGTGTGCTTCCTCTGCCCTCCTCTGCTCTCTCTGGGGACAGAGGCGCTGACCACAGCTCTGTGGAGATGAGGCTGGCAGAGGGAGTACACTGCCGGGGTGAGGACCCCAGAGGCAGGCCCAGACCTCCAGACAGGCTGAAGCCAGAGGAGGCAGCGCCAGAGCACAGAGACCCCTCCAGCTCCAGCAGGCTCCCAGGAGGCCACTTCTAGTGTCTGCCTGGGATTGGCTCACTCTTCCATCTCACTGCAGGGAACTGACCCTTTCCTCTCTTTTAAGGTTATTCTTGTTTTGATTTCTCCCCTGAACCTGTTGCCACTGAGGGTCGCCCTGTCACCCAGAAACTTCTATCAATTGCTGCCTCTTCCTAGGAGAGCAGATCCATGGTTACTACCACCAGCACAATTCCCCTGCCTCAGGTCCTCCAGAAATGCATGGTGTCTTCCCAGGCTGTCCCCCTAGCCCACACTCAACACAAATGTAAATCTTACGTCTCCCCCATTCTCTGTTCTTTTTTAGTCAGTGTGATGGTTAATTTTGTGCCTCAACTTGACCAGGCCACAGGATGCCCTGACCTTTGACCAAGCACTATTCTGAGAGCATCTGTGACACAACATTGGGGTAGATTGAGAGAACAGATGGCCCTTCCTAGTAGGTGGGCCTCATGCGTTCAGTGGAAGGTCTGAAAAGCACAGAAATTGGCCCTCCCTGGTGGCAGAGAACTTCTCCTGCCTGGCGGCCTCTGAACTAGGGCACTGCTGTTCCCCCTTCATTAGACTTGAACAGGAGTGCATTTCCTCTGAGCATGGAACCTGCTAACCTGGGGCGGATGCTACACCATCCTGAGATGCTCCAGCCTGGGGAGCATTTGTCAGTCCATCCTACAGGCTAATATGCTAGTGCTAATGAAGAAGCTAACGAATGAATGAGTGAGTGAATGAATGCATTGGTTCTGCTTCTCTAGAGAATGCTGGAGGCTAAAGTAGGGTTTGGAAGAAGGATGTACGGGTGAGTACAGCCTGGTCTCCTGCTTCATCCTGGGGAATACAGCCTGGTCTCCCGCTTCATCCCCATGGGTACAACCTGGTCCCCCCTTCATCCCCATGATTACAACCTGGTCTCCCACTTCATGCCCATGGGTACAGCCTGGTCTACCCTGCTTCATCCCGGGGAGTACAGCCTGGTCTCCCCCTTCATCCCCATGGGTACAGCCTGGTCCCCCCTTCATCCCCATGGGTACAGCCTGGTCCCCCCTTCATCCCCATGGGTACAGCCTGGTTCCCCCTTCATCCCCGTGGGTACAGCCTGGTGTCCCCCTTCATCCCCGTGGGTACAGCCTGGTCCCCCCTTCATCCCCGTGGGTACAGCCTGGTCCCCCCTTCATCCCCGTGGGTACAGCCTGGTCCCCCCTTCATCCCCGTGGGTACAGCCTGGTGCCCCCTGCTTCACTAACACAGAGGTCTGTGTTTTACAATCAGTGTAGATCCTGCATTTGGGACTAAAAGAAAGTGAAAGGATTGTGTAACCAAATGAGACTGGGAAGGTAGCTCAGTTGACAAAGAGCTTGAAGACCTGAATCTGATCTCTAGAACCCCTGTTAAGAAACAAAACAAGAGCAACAACATCCAGGAATTGTGTCAAGTGCTTCCATTCCCGGCACTAGGGAGGCAGAGACAGGTGATGCACTCAACTTGCTGGCTAGTCAGTCAAGCTTGTTTGTTGAGCTTCAGGCCAGTGAGAGATACTGCCTCAAAAAAAATGGTGGATGGTACCTGAGAAGTGACACCTGAGGTTGTCCCCTGACCTCCACATACAGGTGCATGTGTGCACAACACTGGCATGTGCACACACACACACACTTATCTAGCATAATTCTGTGAGAACACAAGGCCTTACCGAGTGAATGAAAGGCACCATGCCTTCCCAGAGTTCAGTGGTGTCTATGCAGCATCAAAGGGCTTCTCTGGACCCTCAGATCCCGGCAAACCCACTCAGACACTGCATCAGTGAACAGGAAGTATGCCCCAGCTCAAATAAGTCCTGGCAGTGGCTGTGGACACAGCTCAGTGACAAAGCAATTGCCTACAACATGAGATGTCGGCTTCGGTGTCCAGAACAGCAAGAAGAACCCCGCCCTCAGGCAGGGTACCCAGGACCTCAGACCCCAAGTGGTTCACAGAAAAATGGGGAGATGGCATCCCTTTGCTGGGACTCTGAGGGATGAAGTCACTATTTGTCCCCAAACCTTGCAGGGCTGTAGTGGGCCCCACCACGGGCATCAGAAAGCAGGCACGCAGGTGTCTCCCTGGCCTAGGACAGTCCTTTTAGACCCAGGGACACTTGAATTGAGAAATCTGGAATGGAATGGCAGTTGGCGTCTTACAGAAGCAAGTGCGAGCAGCTAAGTGTGCTGTCTATTTCTTATTTAAACAGCCAAGGGAAATGCGGTCTGTGGAGATGAAGGAAGAAGTCGCTGCCCTTGAATAATTAATTGCTTCATCTCTTGAAAAACTGGTTTATTATCTCCAACGGAAGTGCTCCTGCTCTCCTCTGCCTGTGCCTGCGTGACAATCAAACAGATCTGCTCCGGCACCACATCGCCTCTCCCTTCTTTAGACTTCTCTCCTGCACCTGAGACCGGGAGACATTTTTCATCACAGCTGGTTTAAAGGAACCACCCCAGCACACGTCCAGTCCCGAGCCCTGTCCCTCTCAGTGAACATCCACACAGTCAAAATGGCCATTTGGAAGCTGTGGAGCTTTGCTTAGGATTTTACACCTTTACCATCAAGTACGTTTTTGTTCACTTGTTCACCACATGCAAAGGGGTGGGGGAGCCATGACAGAGCTGAAACTAGACGGGGAAAAAACATATCTCTTGTCACGACTCCTGTCCCTTTGCCTGCATTCCATCCTCCTTCATCCCTGACATTACCCTCTCTTGGCCTCCTTTCTGAATGTGACTCTACACCCACACTAACATTTTTATGTATACGCATTAGAAGCCAGAATCTGCATCTGAGACTGGGTCACCTTGCCTAGTAATACACTTTCCATGTCCCTCCTCTTTCTGTAAATTTTGTGATTTCAATTTTATAGCTTAATAGTATATACACCACATTTTCACTATCTGGTCATTCGCTGATGGACTTCTAAGTCGGTTCAGTTTCCTTGGTATTATAAATAGAGCAGCAATGAACATGGATGTGCAAGTACCAAGACTGAGAGACATCTTGGGAAGATCCTTTTGGATGAGCACAACCCACAGAAAACAGGCATCCCCATTCCTTTGTTCTGTAATGGCGACTGAGCCTAGTTACTGCAGTAACAGTGATTTCTCACTGAGATGAGAAAATTAACCCAGAGCCAATGAAGACAAAGCTGGGGGTCTCCCTCCTGACGAGCTTCGATGCTCAGCATTTCAATGCATCGATTTTTAACAGTCACGGATTGTGTGGTGTGAGACCTCGTATGACACCCATGAATGTCTGTGTTTTCAAGTGACACAGACTGTTAGAACTGAAAGTCCACCGTCTTAAAATGGAGACATTGAGGTTAGGATAAACTTCTGACTGTTGACTCTGTAGTGCCGCTTGCAGGCAGGCAATCTCTGATTCCTGGGCTGAAGTGGAAGAAGAGGGAATCTGGGGGGAGGCACATCTAGTTATGGGGTACCCATTGTAACACCACCCTCCTGATTCCCCAGAGTCTGGTGACCTGAGCTCCCATGACATAGAGTGGAAGCAACACAACATAATCATCAAAGTGATTGGGAGATATTTGTAACTATACCTCAGAAGTCCCGGGCATACTAAATGGGAAACACAACCCTCTCCTGCTGCATCAGCACACCTTGGTGGTGTCTGCCAAACCAAGCAGGCCATCTTGGCTTCCCACAGTATCATTTTTTACATGTATCCTTTCTTCCTTGATCTACTGTATGGACCCACAGGGGAAAAGGAGAGGCCCAACTCCTGCATGTTCTGCTCTGACTTCCATATGCATACTGTGGCACACATGTGCCCCCCTACACACTCACACATACAAATAAATAAATGTTCAGATGTGGGGTTCCTGAGTGACGCTGAAATGGATTGTTGGGGACTAAGGAGTTAATTTAACGCCACAGACAGACAAACTGACAAATAGCATGGTGGTGGCTTTAAGGAGGGCTCAGGTCCTAGCTCCAGAGGCAGCATGGCAGAGCCTCTGAAGCAGAATCCATCCCTCCTGGCAGAGTCAGGGTCCTACAGCTTTCTGGGGATGGGTAGTCAAGGTTTCTATTGCTATGTTAAAACACCATAACCAAAAGCAACTTGGGGGAGAAAGGGTTAATTTTATTTTGTCCCTTTCAGGTCACTTTACTGAGGGAAGGGATGGCAGGAACCTGGAGGCAAGAGCTGAAACAGAGGCCCGGGAGGAAAACCGTTCACCAGCTACTCCCTCGGCTCGCTCAGCTTGCTTTCTTATACATGACCCACAATGGACGGAGCCTTCCACATCAATCATCAATCAGTTAAATGCCCCTCACTAATTAAGAAAATGCCCAACAGGATTATCTCCAGGCCAAGATTATGGAGGCATTTTTCTCAACTGAGGTTCTCTCCTCTCAGATGATTTTAGCTTGTGTCAAGTTGACAAAAGATTAGCCAGCACAGAGGTGGTTTCATGGTGTGAGCCTTCAGCCAGGCTCTCTGATCGCCAAGCAGGAGACATGGAAGGGAGTGGGAAGCAGGCTGTGTGACCACTGATATTCTTTGGTGCAAACTCCCTTCCCCAGGTAAGAAATCTAGGCACTTACAAGTCTGTTAGCTTGAGATTTCCCAGAGACTCGATGGGGGCCTGTCCACATCTGTGAGTGGGGAGGGGCTGCTGCCCCTGAGATGGCCTGAGAAGCAGCTGAATTATAACACCACATTCTTCTAGGGATGTAAATGCCATCAGAACACACCACCTTCCCTGCAGTGGGATCAGATGAACTCACTCAGGACTGTGACAATGGTAGCCTTGCTGGCAGCCGGAGATAAGAAACTGACCTATGAGGCAGAAGAAAAGCCAGCCACATCAAAGATGCTCAGAAAAGGAATCTGCAGAGGGAGGAAATGGGGAAGTCATCAGCCTGTGACAGATACTGAGAAGTCTCCTGCAGTGCTGTGGAGTTTGCTGTTGGCCTTGAAAATGGCCTGCTTGTCTGTGGGAGGCACAGCAGGGCAGAGGTGCCTAGAGGACCAGAACCCATGGCGGGCTCTGGAGGAGGACCAGAACCATAGGCAGGCTCTGGAGGAGGATCGGAACCATAGGCAGGCTCTGGAGGAGGACCAGAGCCATAGGCAGGCTCTGGAGGAAAACCTCAGCAGAAGAATCAGCTGACTGTGAGCTAGTATCCAGAGAGGCTACTGCAGATGCCCTCCTAAGACCCTCCCAGGTGAACCACGGAAGGGTTAGTGTGTGGGACATGAATGGGGAGACCAGGGAACAATCTCAGCTGTTGTTCCTCAGGCACAATCCACTTTGTTTCATTTCTTATATTAATTTATTCGTGTGTGAGAGTAGGGGGAGGGGCTCATGCATGCCACATTTGCATATGGAGGTCAGAGGAGGTCAGGCTTGCAGGAGTTGGTTCTCTCCTTCTACCATAAGGGGCCAGTAGATCAAACTCAGCTCACCAGGCTTGGTGGTCCAACACAATGGTTTCTAGACACGTTCTCCTAGGCTCGACTTTTCCAGGCAGACAAGGTTACTCTTGAAGTTACCCACCAGGGGTGGGAGGATGGTGAAATTCAAGTTTAGGGTATTAAAATGTGACAGAGGACTGTCACTATGGGTTAGCAGAAATGTGTTCTTTTACAAATAATTATGGTTTATATGTATGTGTGTGTGTGTGTGCACAGTGCACTGCACTCCAAGTGAATATGGGTGCTCAAGAGGCCAGCAGAGGGCGTCAGATCCCTTAGAACTGGATTCACAGGTGGTTGCAAATGAAAGAGCCACCTGATGTGGGTGCTGGGAACTAGGCTTGGGTCCTCTACAAGAGCAACAACTCTTGACTGCCAAGCCATCTCTCCAGCCCCAGGCATAAGTGTTCTTGTCTTGGGACTCTTGACCTGAGTCAGATGAGCCCACATGTGAGTTTCATGGCTCACTTACTCCCCTAACACTGCACCATCCCTCTCACCTGGGCATCAGCGACAGATACACTGGAGCAGACGAACATTCACTCTCTGCTGTGACACCCCAGACCCTGGAGGGTTGGGGGAGAAGAAATTGGAAAGAGTGACCCATAGTAACCTCTTGGGCTGTCTGGGAAGCTGCCCCAGCATGAACCACCTGTGCTCAGCTGCCAGCCTCTTGGGGTTACCCACCAGGGACCACAGGCCCAGACAGCCACATCCTCATAAACACCTATTTTTGTCCACATGAATACACTCAACACTCAGAGCTGGAACTTTCTTGAGGCCTCATCTAAACCTGACTTCTTAGAATGTCATTAGTTTGAAACACTACATAAAATGTTAGCTAGGGTAGAGATGGGTCCCAAAAAAAGTGAAATGAATTAAATTTAAAACTGTAGTTCACGTGACTGGGGAGTGACTGAGGTGAATAAGAGCACTTGCTGTGAAAATCCAAATCCCCAACACTCTTGTAAAAGCCAAGCAAAGGGCTGGGCTCAGAGACAGGCAGACCCGGGGAGCTTGCTGGCCAGCCTAGCCAAAGGGAAGCTTCATTTAGTGAGAGACCCTGTGTCAAGACAGTAGACAATGACACTTTCGTTCTTCTCTAGCCTTCACATGCACTTTGCCCAGGTGTGCATACTCTTGCATACATATGCATACACCACACACACGAGCACACATACACGTGCACACATGCACATGTGTGTGCCACATACATAAAATATAATTTGTATTTTAAGTTTATAATGAAGCTAAGGCCTGTGTTTCATGTTCTCTTATCTACAGTCTCGTGCCTTATGCCTGTTTTCTACTGAGCACTTCCCCTTTCTTACTGCTTTAATAGAATTTCTAATGTATTTGGTATCAATGCTTCTCTGGGTTACAACTGTAATGTGTCTTTTGAGGATCTAGAATTTTCAAACTTATTCTTTAAGATTGGCATGTTAGCATCTTAAGTATGGCATTCTTCGATCTTTTGAAATTACTAAAATATGACATTTTCCATATTTAATTGACTCTGACCATTGCTCTTCCCTTGGTAAACCACCGCACCAACTTTTGCACCTGAGATCAAAAACCGTCTCCTCACAGGTGGGTTTCCATGTGCCCGGTAAGTTTCTGGGCTTCTGTTCTGAATTTCCTGGTGTGTTTCTGTGTTAACAGCACCGCTCCATCCTACTGTGCTGCCTTAGCCAGCCTCAAGGAACAGCAGGTTGAGGGTCCCCTTCCCACTCCCAAGAGCTTTCTGTTCTGGACATTTGCACCTACATAGAAGACTAAAATTTATTCAAAGAAACCAGTCAATATGTTAATGGGATCTCCAAAAATAAGCTGCAGCTCCATTCAGGGGAGAAACAATATTTCTACTATCCCAAGTGTTTCTCACAACAAAAAAAAAGTATATATGTAATTTTTCTTCAAATCTTTCAGTAAAGCTTCAGAATTTCCAAGTATAGAGAATTATCAAATGTACTCCATTATAACTTACATAATTTTAAGAAAGCGATACATTACTATATATGAATCATAATTTAGTGTTGTAAGTATCAACTTACTAGCATGTCGATATGCTGAGTCTATGTATTTGGCATGTTTGATAATCATTGCACTTGGAAACATGATGTCTTTTCAAAAGCCTTCCCTGTAAATTCCCCTCTCAGATTCTGTTTAATTAGTCCTTATCTTTAGTTGTTTCATTATTCAATTTGTATTGTTAATTGTCTTTTGTAAAGATTGCATTTTTTTTTTTTTTTTTTTTTGGTTTTTCGAGACAGGGTTTCTCTGTGTAGCTTTGCGCCTCTCCTGGAACTCACTTGGTAGCCCAGACTGGCCTCGAACTCACAGAGATCCACCTGGCTCTGCCTCCCGAGTGCTGGGATTAAAGGCGTGCACCACCACCGCCCGGCAAGATTGCATTTTTAAATGTATGGGTTACTATTAATCCCACTGCTCAAAAATAAGACCACTACCACAATTCAAAGCCAAATTTGAAGCAAACTTTAATTAAATACTGGCCAGGTGAGTGGACTCTGGCCAGGTACATCTCTAGGTTTCCAGAAGACGGCCCCCAGTCACAGTTTGCAGTGGCTTAAGTATTTCCCATAAGGTACAACTGGGGGCAAGAATACATCCTGACGTATTTCCTGCCTACACTGAATCAGGAACAAGTATACATCCTGACGTATTTCCTGCCTACATACCTCCCACCTACATGTGATTAAGCACATCCAGTACACATGGGTCAAACAAACTTGTTTAGGGGAGTGAGAACATGTGTCCTGTTATCTCCCATAAACAATAGCCTCTTGTTTTTCAGAAACTATCTGTCCTTGGGCAAGGGGCTTGCAGATCAGAGACATTTTTGTTTCATGGATCTCTAAGGCATAGTAATTAAAACTTAAAATGTAACTTTGGCTCTCACATGACAATATAGAAAGTCAATTTACTCAGCAAATTCTTTTTCTTTTCCATGTTCAGTAACTTGTTCACTGGATTTTAAATGTTAGAATTACATTAAGCAGGCATGATGAGACTCCGTTCTCCTGATCTGACTCTCACTCATTTAATTTGCATCTCTTAAGACAAATTTTTAGACAGGGCTTCATGTAGCCCAGGGAAGCCCCTACCTTAATATACAGCTGAACATGACCTTGAATTTCTGGCCACCCCACTTCTCTCCCCAAGTTCTGGGGTGTGGGTGTGCGTCCCTATGCTGGTGTCCATGTCCCTATGCTGGTGTCCATGTCCCTGTGCTGGTGTCCACGTCCCTACGCTGGTATCCACGTCCCTGTGCTGGTGTCCACGTCCCTACGCTGGTGTCCATGTCCCTGTGCTGGTGTCCACGTCCCTACGCTGGTGTCCACGTCCCTGTGCTGGTGTCCACGTCCCTGTGCTGGTGTCCACGTCCCTGTGCTGGTGTCCACGTCCCTGTGCTGGTGTCCACGTCCCTGTGCTGGTGTCCACGTCCCTGTGCTGGTGTCCACGTCCCTGTGCTGGTGTCCACGTCCCTGTGCTGGTGTCCATGTCCCTGTGCTGGTGTCCATGTCCCTGTGCTGGTGCTGCAGGTGAAGGCCAGCGGTTTGTGCAGCAGCCGAGGCACGTAAACCCTCAGTTTCCTTCTTGAATCTTCTGTTGCTGTGACAGAAACACCACGACCCACAGCAATTTACGAAAGAGTTCATTTTGACCAATAGTTCCAGAAGGAGAATCCCTAACAACCTGGGAGGCATAGTAGTGAAATGCCGGGGCTGAGAGATCACATCTCCATCCACACACAGAAAGCAGACAGAACACACTGGAAGTGAGGTGAGGTGAGGCCCTGCACGCTCAAATCCTGCCCCCAGTGTATGTCCTCCCTCAAGACTGCACCTCCTCGAGGTTCCACAACCTCCTCACACAGTGTCACCACCTGGACACCAGGCGTCCAAACACACGAGCCTCTGGGGGACAGTTCCCCTCCAAACCACACACCCAAACAGTGCGTCCCTCTTGTTTCCAACAGTTGATGATCTTTCCACACTCGGTTGCGTTCTTTCCTTTGGCCATCTTATGTCACACTTTCTGCCTGTTGCTTTTTCTCCTCACCTCTTCCTTCTTCTCTCTCTTTGGGTAGATGGTGCTTCACCCACCCAGTCCACCTTTATCCTCCCTTGGCTGGTTTGGAGTTCGTAAGTGACGCGTCTCCTTTTCCATGAGTTTGGCTGGCATTCCACAGCCCATCAGCATCAACCCCACCCTCCCAAATGGCACAAGGATCTTAGCGACTTGGAGATGCAATATCTGCCTTCCACATCCTTAGCTCGTATTGTTGTTCACCATCTGTGTCAGTTTCCTTATCCTCTTTTGTTGGCATGTATTAAACAGAATTTATGTTCATTTACATGTGCTGCGTGTTTATTATTCCCTTTGGTCCTCATTCCTCTTCACCTTTTAAATCTTCATCAGAGCCATTGGTGTGTTGGACTGCAGCTAATTGGTTCTTCCTTCCCTGGCTGGTTTTTATGGTCTCTTGTGATTTTGTGTGTTTGGTGTACATGTTTGTGTGTGTGCAGGTCCATGCATATGTACAGGCACATGAGTATGGAGGTCAGATGACTCTCAGGTGTCATTTTTGTTCACATTGGTTTTTTGAGACACTGTCTCTGACTGGCCTGGGCCTCACCCATCAGGCTAGGCCAGCTGAACTTCCCCACATAGAAATTACACATGCTTGCCACCACACCCTCCTCTTTGTGATGTTTCTGGGAACAGACATTTACAACCTCACAAATGTATGGCGAACACTTCACTCACCATACAATATCCCTAGCCCTCCATTTGGTAATTTTCCATGTGCTCTTTCAATAATTTTAAACCCATGCCATTATATTTCACACATAGTCGTTCCATCATCTGCCCTCATGGCTGAGTGTGTCTGCGTGACTAAGGCTGATCCGCCTCTGTGGGCCTCCCTTCCCCAGCTCTTTTCCACTCCCTAATCTATGTGTCTTTGCTGTGGGAAGCTCTGGGGGCTAGAATTCTTCAAGGCTTGAGTTGAAATCCATTCTTCTGAAGAGAGTTTAGTTTGTTGCTAGGCACCTGGAATACCAGAAACTTTACTATAATCTTTTTGTTTCCCTTGAGATTTTTCAGGCAGATCTGTAAAGACAAGCCCCAAACTCACATAGAGATTTGTATCAGGAACCCTCAAACACATCTCTCATTCCCATCCTCCTCCTGTGCAGGGTCAAGGCTGGCATGATGCACCCACATCTAGTGCCCAAGAAAGGCAGTGCATCTTGTATTCACCTGGGAAAGGTATTACCACAGGAGCTTTTGATTTGTGGGTGAATTGTTCCTCCTGAGGCAGGTAAACACGGCAGACAGTTTAGTTAGCTGGGATCCCATTTGGGTTTTGTTATATATACCCTTGCTCATAATAATGCACTTGACAGCTTAGTTTCATCACCCAAAGGGACTACAAACACACATATCTCTACAAACAATACCCCTAGCAACTTCAGAACCCCCATCCACATTGGACAAGACACCTCTCTCTCTCTCTCTCTCTCTCTCTCTCTCTCTCTCTTTCTCTCTCTCTCTCTCTCTCTCTCTCTCTCTCTCTCTCTCTCTCTCTCTCAACACCAGATTTCCCTGCCCCTAGCAACAACCAAATTTAGACAATTTGTATTCAAGTGTATTCTTAATATATCTGGGAATAAAAGTGATGATCCAATTTGAACTAGTTGGGGGTGGACATGCAGTAAGACAAAATGGTTCTTTAAGAGAACTTTAAGGAAGACCCCCGTGCTTACACATAATTGGTCATGCATATGATCAAAATCAGATGCATTATGGAAAAGGGCATCACAATAGGAAAAGTGAATATGCAATGTGGTGGGTTTGAATAAAAATAGCCCCCATAGGCCCATAGGGAGTGGTACCATTAAGAGGTGTGGCCTTGTTGGATTAGGTGTGGCCTTGTTGGAGGAAGTATGTTACTGGGGTGGGCCTTGAGATCTCAGATGTTCAAGCCAGGCCTAGTGCGGCATTCTCTTCCTGCTGTCCACCAATCCAGATGTAGGACTCTCAACTACCTCTCCAGAACCATGTCTGCCTGCATGCCGCCATGTCCTGCCATGATGATAATAGACTGAACCTCTGAACAGTAAGTCAGCCCCAACTCAATGTTTTCCTTTATAAGAATTGCCATGGTCATGGTGTCTCTTCACCGTAATAAAACCCTAAGTCATACAGCTTAACTTGTCAATCAAGCTATAGCCCAAACTCCCCCTTAATACTCAACTCCTCCTCTCTTGAGCCCATAGAAGAAAACCCCAGATAACACCAGGGGCTGTGAGTTACTCACTCATGCGGCCACTGCTACCTGAGTGCGTGTTCTTCTGCTTCATTTGCTTTACTTCTGAATAATGTTTCCTTGCTGCATTGCACATATTGAGAACCCTAGCTCGATGCTCTTAGTAAGAGGCCAGGTGTGGTAGTTTAGACCAGAGTGGCCTTCAAAAGCTCATGTTTGAATACTTTGTCTACAATTAGTGAAGCAGTTTGAGAAGGATTAGGAGGTGTGGTCTTGTTGGAATAGGTGATTCACAGAGTGGGCTCTGAGATTTCAAAAGACATGGCCCATTCCCAGTGTGCACTCTGCCTCTGTTTATAGTTTGAGGTGTGAGCTCCAGCTATTTGTGCTGCCATTCCTTTGCTCCGCCATCATGGACTCTAACTCTCTGGAATGGTAAGGCCGATGAAATGCTTTCTTTTATAATGCTTCTTTTCTTGGTCTTGCTTTTTTTTTTTTTAATCACAGTCATACAAAGCAACTAATACAGCCAAGACCCTGGGAATACCAAGCTCAGACCCCATGCTCTGCAAATACTTCCAGCCTGTGAGAACCCAAGATTACAACCTGGTCCTAAGTATGGCCCTAAAACTCCATTCCAGCCAACTCCCTGTACAAAGAACATGTGTGAATGTAAAATTTTGGAAAATGAGAGAGAGAATAAAGAGTGATCTGTGTCCTCAAGGAAGGTTCTGGCACCATGGAGGTCTGTCTGGAGGGTTTTCACTTTCTTCTCTCTTCTTACACGGTTCTCTCATTCTGCTAGATAATCTGTGTGCTTCTTTAGACCATGTTTTTAAAAGACTTGTGGAGACATTACCAAGCATTTGCTAAACGAGGGAAGAGAAGCTCTGTGACTCTACGTTACCAGGAATGGAGGTGTGTTCCTTCTAAACTAAGGACAATCAAAATAACTGAGTAAATGAAAAGAAAGAAGAGAAATCAGTGCACTGAGGGGTTGGCACACAGAGTACATGAAAGACATCAATGAAGGCTCTTGACAGATGAGTAAATACCACTCAAAGGTCAAGGTGTTCAGAGCTTTCACTGTCCAGAGCACACGGAGAAACTGTTAGGAAACAATGACGCTCTTTGAGTCATTATGAAAATTAACATCATGGAAAGAGAAGACAAGAGGAAGGAGAGAGAATGGCATGGAGTCTGAACAGATGAGGAAGACAAGCCTACAAGGTCAGGCTCGTCTAAGCTGCCACATGCATACAGAAGCCTGCACAGGTGTGCCCACACATAACAGGATGTATGTGCACACACGGGATACCTAAAGAACAAGAAAGCAGAGCTGCTTGCTATAGGAACACACATAGGCCAACTGCAAAGCAATTTTCTAATGAGCCAAACTTTCTGACCCATGCTGATATGAGAGGAAGATGAGCATAACTGAGAGCATGTTCCAGTGTTCACAGTGGCTTCTGAGTTCCATCACACCTGTCCTGAGTGCACAGTCCACAGAGACATTCCCAAGCCCCATGTGAGTGGAGGATGAGCATAACTGAGAACATGTTCCAGTGTTCACAGTGGCTTCTGAGTTCCATCACACCTGTCCTGAGTGCACAGTCCACAGAGACATTCCCAAGCCCCATGTGAGTGGAGGATGAGCATAACTGAGAACATGTCCCAGCATTCACAGTGGCTTCTGAGTTCCATCACATCTGTCCTGAGTGCACAGTGCACAGACAGAGACATTCCCAAGCCCCATCCTAGCAAGAGAAGCCACTGTGTGAGACAGTGGTCAGGTTATGGGCATGTGAAGAAAAACTCATTATCCCCCGAGGGATTGAGCCTGGAGAACAGGTACTCTTGCTCCATCAGATGCAGAGAACCTGGAGCTCTAACTTACTTTTTCAAAGGAAAGAGGAAAAGGATGGGGTGAAGATGACAAGGAGCTGGAGGATGGTGGGGAGGAGAGGAGAGGGGAGCTCGGACAATGCTTCAGGGTCTGCTCAGTTCTAGAAGCATAGCAGGCTCTCTTCACCTCGCACTTGATTTGTCTCAAGCCCCAAGCCCCAAATTCATGCCACCCACCACACACATGCATCTGTATATGTACTGTGTGGGCCATATGTGTGCTCTGGGCATTTGTGTGTACAATGTATGTGTACATGTGAATACCATGTGTGCCACTTCAATAACATTGTGCACCAAGCATGCACCATGTGTGTGTGTTGTGTGTATACCATGTACATGCCACAAGTGCCATCTATGTACATGTGTAGAATAGGTTGTACCATGTGTGTGTATTATGCATGTCTAACACGTATGGTGTATATAGCACATGTATACTGTGTATGTGCCATGTGTATGCCATAGCATGTGTACAACAGATACGAGCCAAATATACACCATATATATTCTATATGAGCCATTAATGTGCCATGTGTGCCCCATGTGCATAGTGCTACGTGTACGGTATCCCAAGCAGCTGTGTCCCCCAAGTAGCTGCACCCTCAGTCCTGCTGTGCCTCAGCTTCTGATGCCACAGGTGGCCCTCGTGACACAGGAGAGCCCTAGAGAGAAGGAGCTCTTCACAAACTTGAATTACACTCACTCACTTTGCAAATGAAGAAATAACAGACAGGTGGTGGTAGAGTACAATCAGGACAGCTGCTCCTCATGCTGTAACTGTCTTTTACAATAATAACGATGCTCCTCTTGGTTGAGATTCATGTAAAAGTCCATATTGTCACTTAACAGTAAACAATAACCTGAAAATTTGTTCAACCAGTTTGCTTGCATGTGTAATTCCTCTGCCTGTCTTTGTAGAAAAGAATGTTTTCTTACTTCTATACTATAACAAAATGCACATAGAACACACATCTTAAAAGATTTTATTTTACTCTTAAGTGTGTGTGTGTGTGTGTGTGTGTGTGTGTGTGTGTGTGTACAAGGGTGCAGGTGCCTGTGGAGGCCAGAAGAAGACGTCAGCTACCCCTGGAGATGGAGTTTATAGGCAGTTGTAGTTGTAAGCCACCCAACAGGGGTGCTGGGACCTGAATTCAGGTCCTCTGTGAGAACAACAAATGCCTTAACCACTGAGCATCTCTCCAGCTCCACAGAGCACACTTTTAAACGTGTGTTAGTGAATATACCTTCAAAGGTCATGCCAATTACACCAACTCCTAAGCACTGTTTTCCTGGTGGGCTGTTCCTACCAGATACACATGTGTGGTCTTTCCTTCAACACCTGCATAGCAGTTTGTCATTTCAAAGGGTGCTGCTTTTGGGGGGCTTAGATCAAGTTTGGCAGATTCTGACAGAAATATCAAATTATCATAAGTGAAAGGGATAGTGATTTTTCTTTACTCATAGTCATACATAGCCCTGTAAGACAGTTGTTCACAAACAAGTCACACAAAACAACCAGGAAGTATCCAGGGAGTGTCTTGCCTCTCTCTGCTGCAAGGGAGGATGATAAAACAGAAGGAAGGCTGTGTTGCTAATGGAAGGATGACTGCTGCCATCAGCATCAACAAATTATCAAATGTCGTAATGAAATGTTATCCCAAGTACTTGCTTTTACTCAGAGAAGATCTCAGGAGAAAGGTACAAGCATGAATGGGTATAGCAGCCTCAGGACCTTGTCCCTCCGGAGCCACCATCTCTCCTGGAACAGCCCTACATGGTCTCGGAGACTGTCACGGCACAAGGCCAAGGCCTCTAGCTAAACACCAGTTGTGAAGGCAATACAGACTCCATCTTAGGGGAGCACTACCCTCTTAGACCACTTGCTGTACTCAGCTCCAGGAAGGACCTCAGGAATGTGCCATGACAACTCAAACAGATACAGGGCAATATGCTCCTATAGACATTCTGTCTATGATTTATGGCCCTTGAAGATATCTGGATAATCCTGTTGAACAGCCCAGATAATCTTGTTCAGCAAGTTGTGATTCTCTGCCAAAAAGTCCAACCCAATAGTTTCAAATGTGGTTTCATGCTGAAAGTCTAGACCAATAGTTTCAAAAATTCACCTTGTCCCATATCCCTTCTACCCAATCCCAAGTTGTCAAAGCATGTAATTCCTGACTTGTAGTTTTTCCCTATTAAAAACTCTCTACCCCTGGGCCTACCACCACTGCCACATTTCCCTCCATCAGCCATGCGGTGGCCCAGGTTTGAACCTGACAATAAAAGGACCCTTATGTGCTTGCATTGGAAACCTGCTCCTTGGTGGTCTCTGGGTGTTCTGTAAAATAGGTACAACACAGTCTCTGCATTTTCTACTGATGGATCCTTTTCCTAAGGACTCCAAATGTCCTTTGGAGCTTACCACTGGGCACTGAGATCTTAGATTACAGCTTTTGTTTCTTCCTGCAGACTGGGCTCTCAGACATTTAAAAACACACAGGATATCTAGGTGGAAACGTGCAGCAAAGGGAGATGGATAAGTGCCGCATGCCTGTAGCCTTAGGGCTAAGGAGATGGAAGCAGAAACATCAGGGATACAAGGCTAGCCCGGGACACACAGTGAGTTTAGATCAGCCCAAGATGCATAGAACGAAACCCTGTCTCAGAAAACAAAAACCAAAGAAGAAGGAAGAGCAAACTTTACTTCTCCCCTTCCCCACCCCCAGGAGGAATCAACAATGGACCAAAAGAGAAGTCACTGAAGACTAGCTTGGTGAGCCAGTGGGTTTACTGAGGTCACTTCAAGGCAGCTTCATCACCAAAAAGTCAACCCAGACTGGGTGACAGTTCACCAAAGCTGCATCCTCTCAGGCCCCTTCCTTGCCACTGCTTGTCCATCTGTCTGTAGCATCAATAACTTTTCCAACAAACCTCTTCCCCCAAAGAACAATTCACCTCAGGGTCCCCCTCAAGCCCCAGCTTTGAAACTTTTCAGGTACCGTTCTTTTATTTATGGCTTACCAAGTAATAAAAGCTTGCCCAGATCCTGAATGGTACTATTTTGTACCAGCTGGAATGGCCTGAATTCCCATTATGGAAAAAGGAAATATAACATAAAGATCTCTGACAAGCATATACATCTATCATTCCTTAGATATTGCAGCCTTGCTAGAGAGCTCATAGATAACGTTGACTTTTGTAACCGTGTCCCTGGAAGAGAAACTCACAGCAGTAATTTAATAGAGGGTTTTAATGCACATTATTTAAAGCCGTTTTGATTAACATAAAGCATTTTACATCTTCTCATTCTCTCTCACCCTTGAATACTCAAAGCGTAGATGAAACAAGACCCTTTGGCTTAAATCTGCTGGTAAGGTGACCATTTTTGCCAATGATCAGTGCTTTTCATTTCCACACACATTCACACACGCCAGAGCTGGGGGTGGGTTTTAGCCAGAGCCACGCCATTTCGTAAAGTTCCTCCATTTTGGTTGAACTGCAACAATTCACAAAATAAAAGTAATTTGGTTCCTGGAACTCAAGAAATTCATTTCTCTATCTCCCTCCCCTCCCTAAAATCAACTCCCAATAATGGAAGCCAGGAGAGATGCTGACCCATCACTTGACACTCTTTAGCTCACTGTCCTCTGCTTACTCTCCTTCCCACCCTCTTTCCAATGAAACCTACAAGACAAAATTTCTGCTTTGCCAAGTGAACATAACTCTCCTTGGACCCCCTGCCATGCTGTCTGCTTTTCTATCTATGATGACAATAATTCTAATAAATCTCTTACCCCAAAGGACAATTTGTATCAGTCGTCTGCCTTGAATGCTAAAACACAAAATCTTTTGGCAGATATAGCCTATGTCTTATTAAATTAGGAGGAGGAGAAGGAAGTGGGAAGGAGGAATTTCAGAGTTGAATCCCCAAGTTTGGAAGTTTCCTCGGTCTGTCAAAGATGAAAATTGGATTTTATTGCAAGGGATCTAAGCTTTTACTAAGCTCGCCCTACTGTGGCAGCTGCTAAGCCACTTGCAGAGAGAGCCATCTCTTTATTTAAAGCTCTTTCCAACCATAGAAGCCCACTCTTAACTTTTCATATTGATTTGTTATTCAAATCAATGCAGCAGGCAGACAGGAAGTGTTTACTCGGCCAAAATGTGTACAATTTGCATAGCACAGGAAAGGCAGCCTTGCTATTACCATAACAATACAGAATTGTTCTGCCTGCTCCAGTGGTGCAGGAATAGAGCAGCCCGGGTCACCTGACGGGGCCACTCCAGACAGTTAGCTAAGTAGGAGCTCCTCAGATGTCTGGGCAAGACTGAGCCACGCTTTACTTTTTGGAAGCCATGTAGTTTACCAGATTAGTTCAGGGACACATTCCCAAAAGTTTTTAACGCAAAAGCACCACTGGCTACAGTGAGCCCCTGTGCAGGCTGGCATTGTAGGAGCGTTAAAGGGCTACTAAGTGACATCTACTCTTTTAGCCAAAAGAATGGAATCTACCTCTGGGCAGAGACATGTCATTGTCTCCTCCCTCAAGAATTAATCCTTTTGGGCTGTCACTCACCTGGCCAAGGGACCATTCCTCAGGAAGGCTGATTCTGCATAAGCCATGTTAAGGAGATGAGAGGAACAATTACCCCTTTAATGAGATTTTGCCTTCATAGGATTTGTGCCTTCTAGGTAGTTACTACAGAGTCACTGCACAGAGCAGAAAGAGGCTTCTTCAGTCAACACTGAGAAAAGGCATTGATCGATGGGCATAAATAAATATTTAGAAGGCAGTTTGGCAATATGAGACCTGTGTTCTTATCTTATTAGCACTCTTTTGCTATGTATAAACCTGAACAATGCACCTCATGAACAACTTTATAGTCTCGTTAACAGGCTTTCTGTACCCCCTCATAATAGGTTTCCGTGCCAACACAGTAAGCCAGATCAAGCTGAACTGAAAAAGTAGAAGAACAGGTATACTGAGCAAAGCAACTCCCAGGTGGGTTCTCCAGTTCCAGAGATTGGGGCCAGAGAAGTCACGCCCCAAAACAAAAGCCAGGAGATTTTATGGGTTGTGGGTGAGGGGTGATGACGTGTCCTACACAAGCTGGGTTTGTGTTCAAGTGTGGTCAAAAGCTGAGCACTTAGGTGGGTACTTGAGCAGACAACTTCAGGGGAGGAAGCTGTAGTATCTGTCAGGAATGTGGGACTCTGCTTTTTGGTGCCTTTCCTTTGTTCAAAGACTCTCTAAGTGGTCTTGGGAGAGCGGGGCGGGGCGGTGGGGGGAGAAATAGGGCTTTCTGAACTATACAGAGATGAGCCAGAAGTTCCAACCAAATACTTTTTGATGAAAAAAACAAAAAACAAAACTCTTTAGATTAAAAAATAGTATACTGTAAGGGGTCTTTCTTTGGACCACTAGCTCCTAAATAATGACATAGAGAGTTTTCATTAATTATGAATGAAAGCTTAGCCTTAGCATAGGCTTGTTCCCAACTAGCTCTTAAAACCTAAATTAACCCATTTAACATTCTGCCACATGGCTTGTTACCTCTCTTCAGTACCATATGCCTGACTTCCTCCATGTCTGGCCTCTGGCTGGTGAATCCCTCCCTCAGATTTTTTTCCCCAGAGTTCATATCTCTCCCCAGAAGTCACACCTATTCTCTCTTGCCTAGCTATTGGATGTTCAACTCTTTATTAAACCAATGAGAAGGTACCTTAGGCAAGTGAGGAAGGACTTGGGCACACACAGGGTACAAAAAGATTATCTTAACGGTATACCAAATAGTTTTACTTCATTTTTTTAAACTTGGATATAGATTACCTCCATTGACCACTATAATTTCAAAAGCCTCAAAAT